TCACACATTATTCCAAGATGGTTATTCCTGCTGCTAGCCTTGTAGTCAACAACACTGAGGCTCAATAACCACATTTAGCCCCCCCTGTGAGTGTGGATATTAATTTGCTATTGTCTAGTAGTCTTATCTTTGATCTCAAATGCACAATCTTGTTGTCTAGCTGACTTTAGTCATCGCATTGGTTGGCTATATTGCTACATAGTCTACCTATCACAAAATGAGTGAGTGAGTTTGTGATGTGGTTGATAAACTAGGTGGAGGATAAACGACAAGCATGTATAGTATGTATAGAAGCAAATCATTTATCTGCTTCGTGTGGTGTTGACATGAAAAGTGACCACAGTGTCTTCATCTTTTCCTCTCCATACCTTTTAGAAATGCACAATCTCTAAGTTCTGTATATTATTGTGATCGAGCTGTTTTTGAAAATCATGTCTCATTATCATCAAGTAATAACAGATTATAACGGACCCTGCCTGAGAAAATGAGTCTTATTCAACTTCTACTGTGTTTAGCTCCTATTCATTTAGATAAATGATCTATATTAGTGTCAATAATGGGTCTAAGCAATGGAGGCTTTGCAGCCATGTTGCCAGCGGTTTGTTGATACTTCTACAGCTATACAGCAAGGGAAATGTCCTTTGGATAAAGCAGCAGAGGAAGCTACAGAACAGCTTGACCTTGTTTTGTTAGCCAAGCAGTTCCTCTATTATTATTCTATAAGACAAACTTTTACTTTAACATACTGAATCACCTGTAAATTCAGTTCTTACTGTGGTCTTTGCAGCCTTCGCTATCTCTCCGATGGCATGACAAATCCTAAAGAAAATGCAGAAATCACAACAACAGCCTCCCCCGGACAGCCTTGCATTACCATGACAGCACACATTTTTAGTGTGGGTGGCCCCGAGGGGAGTGGAGTCTCTAACCCAGGCAGAGTTAGTGTCTTCTCAGCACAGTACATGTTAGATAATGTCCTGTCCTGTGCAGCTTTATGTCCATGCAAATCGTATGTTTATGTAAATCAGTGTTTAACACCATAATCAGTCGGGTTTGGAGTTTTACTTTACTAACTAGTCAAACAACTTCCCTCAAAGCAAAGTCTAGTCCATTACATTTTCAGAGTGCAGTGAGGCTAGACTTATTATTTGAAATAACATACTGCTATACAATTTTGAAAACATGTCCTTTGGTTTCAGACATTTACAACATGAAAGATGTAATTTTCTGTAAACAATGGTTCAAATTCTTGCTTGTGCTTGGGATTTATGTCTGTTACCGTGTTTGGTAAATTAAACTTTGTCGTTGGAAACTGTCTGAAAAAGAGCAGGCACATTCAAAAAATAACATCTGTCTATCACTGTCTATCACGGACGAACATCAACCAATAAGATCAATGAACCAAGTTACGTAGTCAAACTCTGCCCAAAGCCAGTCGGGAGAAGAGTCAGAACATATTTTCCATTCAGAAAAGCCTTCATTGTCGTTCTTTGTTCTTCTTTAAATGAAGAAATACACTACAATACAATAGCTGATGCATGCAGCATCTACACTAACCACTTTAGCAGCCATCACTGTTGTTTTCACGCAAACACTCACTTCTTGATTTTAAGGGGTGCTAGACAACTTTAAAAATATACACAGTAGGCCTTATCTCAATATTTGCTACATTTCTGTGAGGAAAAGTGTAAATGTAAAGTAACTTGTTAAGTAAACTGTCTAATAGAACAATGTCAGGGACAAGAAAACACAGAATTTGTTAAAAAAGAATCCTATTAAGTATGTATGATTGTTAAAAACGATTAAAAAAAACATAATGTGGACAGAAAATCAAACAAAAAAAAAGTTCCCTAAAAAATCCCTAATCTCATTTAATACAAACTTTCTGCAGTTAGTTCATTATTTGGCTTAATTGTACAGTTTTCAATGCAATATGAAATCTCCATAACCTATGTCACTTAGCCAGGGGTCGCCAGTTTACTAAATGATAGAAAAGCGGTCTCTTTAGGAAAAAGGTCGACGACCACTGCCGTAGCTGCCATTAGTTCCTCATAGGACACTGATTGGTCCGGTAAAAAACTGTGATTGGACATAAGCACATAGCTTGAAGCCAGGCAGGGTGGATTCAAATGTGTCATTTGACCTCTCATCTCCCTTTCATGAACTGAAAATGATGCTTACAGACTTAAAAGCTGAGCATGGCCTTCTGCTCTTGGCACATAGTCCAGGATAAAATACTGAACAATAGAGCAAGACTAACAATCCCACCCTGCTAACGGAACAGAACCACAAACCCTGGGCAGGTGGGTGCTAGTGCCTCGCTCTACCCCCTCAGCTACCAAACCACAGTCAAAACTCCACAGAGACTGAACAGCAACGGATACCAAACTGGGTCCTTGAGCAGGTTCCCAAGGAATATTTTGATTTCACCCACTAGAGGTTGGCTTAATATGAAAATACTGTATGTATGAGTGGCAGTTTTAATCACAGGCTTCGCAGCCCACTCCACCTACAGCTGAGACAGTTATGCAACTCAACACTGAAATATTTCTAAAAACAAAAGTCTTCTAAGATGGAATTTATTTGGACAAAATCGTACCAATGCAAGTATGACTAAAAAAAAGTCTCCTAAACTATATAAATGCAGATTTTGTTGGATAAAATGTGTTTGTTGAGTGTTTAAGAAGTTAAATAAACAAGCTTTCTGTGTGGAAAGTTCAGATGACTCATGGTACCTGCAAGTATGACTAATGATGTGCTACTGCACTTTGACGACAGCAATCATAATAATTTTTTTCAAAAGGTGAGCGTTTTATTTTTTAATTAAACTTATTATAATCACATCACAGCCAAAAACAAGCAGTGTGAGAGTAAATATTTTAAGAAATTATCACATCTGCTTGCTGTTTTACGTTCAGACATCCTATAACCTGGAGGACAGCATCTTCATAGACGTATATATTGTTGGAGGAGGCTTTAACAGTAGCTACCGCACTCTGGTACAGATTCTTAAACTGCTAGTGCCAGTTGAAAATAGACAACTGTGTCATGATGGTGAAATAATACATACATATATTGTATTAGCTTTTGTGTATCTGCAAACATGTCAATCAAAATCTATAGAAAGAAACAAAAAGGTGCCACATTAACTTCCAAATGTGGAAATACTTTTGCTATCAGCGTCTACAGAATACCAAAATAGCCATCACCTCTAAAAAAGGCCATCGTTCCTCTCAGCTTCTTGTTATCAGCCACAGCCGTGAGACGCCTCTGAGTGGCTCTCTATCTTTAGGATACACTCCTGACAGTCTTGAGGATTTTGTTGACACACTGCTTTACTCCTCTACGGGCTGTTCATTTAACTTATATAACACTTAGATAAGCTGTTCTATAGAGTAGTCAACAAAGAACTGACCTTTTCTTTAATAAGACTTAAAGTCTGTAGTCATGCTGGAGGCTCTGTGAGGCTCCTCTGTTGTTTCATCCCTGAAAAACAACCAGCTCATCCCACAGACTTTACTCTAAGAAGATGTCTAAGAGGATGATTATGATGATGGTAGGAAGCTTCATAACGTAAAGATTAATAACTGTCCTTGTCTGCAGTTTGAGGCGTCCTGTCAACAGTTTTACAGACAGATCTTTTGTGGTGAAAATGCTTTTTTGCTGCAGTACTGAAGCTGAAAACGCTGAACATCGTTTTGAGCTAAAAATCAAGCGCAGTGCCAGAAGAAAGTCAGTGTTATAATACAAATCAAATGGATCTTTCTCTGGGGCTGTGTCCTACAATTTCTCTCACTTTCCGAAACTAATAGTCCAACATTCACAGCAGAACCCAACCAATACAGGACTTTTGAGGCCAATATGGATCATGATTTTAGGGGTTAACAGTCACAGATTACAGATAAAGCAGCTGATATAGTAAATGTTTGATCTGGAATGAAAATAGCTGCTGTGTATGAGCATGTAATGTATTAGCCTGTACGTATGTGATTGTGCTTGTTAGTGTGTATGTGTTTCTAAAAGTGTGTACTGCACTCAGTGCTCTAGCTCTATGTCCCAGGAGACCCCTTCATTTGAAGACCAGCAGTTTCTTTATTATTAATGTGTGTTGGCTTGCAGCTCTGGGCCGACAGCCTCTCCTCCTCTATTCTAAGATAAAACCAGCAGAGCACCGCTGAACTGGCAGATATTAAAGTCCTGGGTGTTGTATGAATATTCTGGTCTGTCTGCATCCTGTCTGTGCTGCTGTAGAGACATTAAGGTGGAGTTCAGAGGAGAAGGCAGAGAATAGTTTTGTCTTTAGGATGCACAAATGCCTCCCAAATGTGAGAGTTTTATGAGATAGAAGTCCCATTTTTGAAACATCAGATTTAAAGAGAGAAAACCAGACATCAGTTTTTCACACAAAGATGTCAGAGTGGGTCATAAATGTTGATTGGGTGATGAGGTAACTTTGCTGCTTTAGTACAGTGTGGCGTTTAAGTTCAGCTCACCGGTGTAGATGCTGGCGCTGGAGGCCGGGATGCCAAACTGAGACTCAATGAACTTGGGGATGAAGGTGATGAAAGCTGTGACTATGGCGCTTTCTGCCGTGTAGGACAGGCTGACGAACAAGAAGGTCACGTTGCTCAGGATCCTCACTGCTGCTTTGGGCAGGTCTGAAAGAGGAGGAGGAGGAGGAGGAGAAGAAGGGCAGACAGAGAGAAGAGTTTGATTTTTTTTTGTTGTAAAGCAATTATCTGTTCCCAACAGTCCACTCTATCCCCGCAGAGTCATAAAGTATTGTGTGGTGGATTTCTCCTGAAATATAGAAGATATTACACTTTCGATAGATGCCACTAAATCTTACACACTGGTCCTTTAACATGCAGTCAACAGTCCATTATATTCACAGTACAGGATGAGCACTGACAAATCTTTGTCTTTAAAATGTCAGAAAACAGTGAATCCATCACATTTTCTGACATAAAAATAAATAATAAATAAAGAATAAGCTGACAGTTCTCAGATTAGTCAGAGGACTCTGGAAACCAGCAAATAATGACATTGAAGAAAGCTGGAACTCGAGAATTTTGACATGTTTTCTTAAAGAATTACTCATAATGATGAATTTATGTCGATTCAATAATTAATTAATTGTTGCAGTTCTACTTTTTATTAAACCATCAACCACCATTACCCAATGCAACTTTGTGTGTTGAACTTTAAACATAGATGTTGACCTGCTGGACTCATATTTTAGAGTCATGTAAAACTGACATCAGCGGCCCTCGCCAACAGGTCGCAGTATTTTCTGGTACCTTTGATGTCTTTTCCGAAGCCCATGGATGAGGTGACCGTCTGGTTCTTGTTGTTGCTCTTCTCCTTGAGGACGTCGTCATCGCTGGACAGGTCGTCGAGGCTAACCTTTTTTCTCCTCTTCTTCTTCTTGTGTCGGGGTGGCAGCTTCTTGGGGAAGGTGAACATGGGGAAGATGACCAGCAGCATGGCCACGGCGCACAGAAGGAACCCGCTCCACCTAGACAGACGAGGGAGGATTGACAGTCAAAATACAGGAAAGTGACCAAAGAGAAGTGAATTCAGCTGAGTCACTCGTGGATGAGACATTTTACTCGTCGCTCCATGCTATCGAAGACCGCCAGTCTGGTATCATTTTATCTCCGTGTCTCATTATTGGGCACATAAATAAATAAACTGGAGTCAGGTTTGTGCAAAATCACTAGTACACTCAACTTCCTGCTATCATCACCTATAATTCATGTAGGAAGCCCGTGGCTGCTAGCTACTGAGTCACCGGTCATGCTGTCAGTAAAGAGAGGATGGCATCACTGAGCGCTGTAAATAGATGACTAACCGCATCTCATACATGCCAACTGATTTACAGATGGCTATAAGACGTCTACAAAAACTGTACCCAAAGAACAAACATGCATCTTATGTAAAGTAATGCTGCATTTTGGAGTATATGTGGTTGTCTTCATTGGTTCCAGTTTTCTCCTCTTGACTAACTCGTATGCTTCAGCTTCAGTAATCTCGCTTTCAGCACAGAACTGAGCAGAAACAATGCGTGTTCTGCCTTTATAGACTCCCATTACTGATTTTTGGAGAGAGGATGGTCTCTGGTCATGTTATATAACCCTATGAAGCTTTGAGACGTCCACCACTGAAGCTAAGGTATTACAAGTTGAGCACACACAATGGGAAAATAGTCTATTTAACACCGAGTAAAAATCCCAAATTCAATCCAAAATTAGATTTAATTAAGGGCCTGGAATCTCAGTACTGACCAACACATCTTTAACGTGGCACCAGATAATCATTATTTCCTGAACTATTTCCTGCAGGTGCTGGAACTAGAATAATTTGTTAAAAGAAAAGGCTTTTGCTACTGTCAACAAATCCCCCCCAAAAAATACCAAAACCAACGTTCATCTATCAATACTTTCTTACTTCTTTCAGCTCAAAGCCCAAAGGTTCCTAATAATGATGTACATCTTTAAAAACACCTATAGAAATATACACGTTAAAATATATATTTTTTTAAAGGCTCACTAATTTCCCAAAAGAGCTGCACACTGTTTAAACAAACTCTAATGAGAGGAAGTAGTGCATTTGTTGGGTCTATTTTCAGCTGCGGAGTAATCCACATTGTGAGATTGAGTCAAAATAAACGTCAGTGTTTGTGTTTTGTTGACAATGGGACAAATAAATAATATCACCAGACTATTTCTACTGAAACACAGGTAGTATACCAGCACACGTATATTACACTTCAACCAGCCCAGATTGTTCTCACCAGTTGCCGATGAAGCGGGGGTCGCTTTGATCGATATTGACAACAGTCTTCGGGTCCACGTAAAAGCCGATGAGGACTCCTCCCAGCAGGTATCCAGCTGCTGGACCCAGTGCTCCCATCACATACATGATGGCTGAGGAGAGAAGAAAATAGATAAGAATTGTGCTCAAACTGTTATAAAAACATCAAAATGATATACAGATATAAATTCCCCCACATATTACAGTCTTATAAAGTTGCATTAAGTACAACAACTGCCTTCTTTCACATCCAGCAGACACAGAACAACATGGGATTCGTTTGTTTGTGTTCACATGTTCGTTCTCCTTTAACTCCTGAGAAAGTGAATTAAACCTGCATTGTTTCTATGGGCCAGCAGGGGCAGCTCCATTGGCTGCAAAAAAAAGTCTGATAGTATTGAGTCTTATAGGGGAAATAACTGCTTATCACTTGATGTATGAGCTCAGTAAACAGTAACATTAGTAAACTAATGAGTGTATGGTCTGAAGTTTTAGTTTCAAGTCTTCTTCCATACAGCATTTTGTAAATAATGGTTCCATTTAGAGTAAAATAGACCATAAAGCAGGATGTTTTCTTAGTGAGACCATCCAGCCCAAACCACCTACATCACCTCTGAATGAACATGATTTTAGATGATTCATCTGATAATAACTATTGTATATCAACTTCTATAAAAGTCACTCAATTATCTAAACTCAATGCCTAACTTTAACCCTTATGTAACTCTTTGAATCAAACTAATCTAGCATTAAGAGTGGGGTACAAAAGGCTGTGTGTGTGTGTGTCATGTGAGCAGATCATATGACCATGTAATACGGGGCCTGCTCGAGGCTGAAAATAAGATTTCTCCAATTAGAGGGAATTAACATCTTAAAGTCTTTGGCTGAAGTTGAAAGTGAACACAAAAATCCAGTGGCGTGACTTAAAAACTCAAAGCTGGGCCAAACTGAACGTTATCTAACTGTCCTGGGAACTTACTGGGAGCTCTGGGTTCATGTCAGTAGCAGTTTCAAAGACAGCTCGTAGAATTTCCAATCACCAATGTCACGCTTTTCAAAATAAAATGACAACTTGCTAATGATTTCTGACATTTATGTCTGGTTTGTTGTGCCTTTTTTTAATTTGTAAAGCATGCTTTTTAAATGGAATACTAATGACTTTGTGGGGAATCAAAACAAAGCATAAAGATCAAAGATCTCTGTAAGTGAAGGATTTCAGCAGAAATAGTCCCAAAGAAAATTATCTAGAAATGTTTCCCCATTATCTATTCATATTATGATTATTTTATTGATTAATCACTCAATCAACAAGCTAAAACAAGAGAACAATTTCCATGACTATTTCCCAGGGTGGCATCTTTAAATTGCAAAAGTCCAAATCCAAAAGGTATTCAACTTACAATGAAATAAAACAGTAAACCAGCAAATCCTCACATTTGGGAAGCTAGAGACAGAGAATAATAGCCAGTTTAACCTGATAAACTTAAATAATGACATTTAAATTGTCCAATCAAGTCAGGACTATGTGAGAAAAGATTTTGTCCATATTGCCCGGCCCTAATAAAGGAAAACTGACTCCTCTGAGCCTCCACTCGACCATTACATCATCTGATTGGGATAGCCAGAGCCTGGGATGATAAAGCATGGGGATGGGATTGAGAGCTTGGGTTTTCCAAGGGGACCCAGCGGCATCAAGGATAATCCCTTATCTAGCAGGAGAAGAGGAAAACCCTCGGCTGGCGGGTTGCCGTGTTACGCAACGTGATGTCAGCCGAGGGATAAAAAGGCGACCGGGCCACTGCTGACATGTGAGGAAAGTGAGAAAGAATAATAAGAAACATTGTTCGGACTTCTAATGTTAATAAGAGAATGTTGGCACTGAATGTCAGAGATTGATTAGCTTGTCGAGACAGTTTCTGATTTAAATAAAACATTATGTTAGTTTTAATGTATTTTATTTGGCTTTTACAGCTGCTTGTGTTAAGCTACAACCATGCACGTTCGCTCTTGTGATGCCTCGAATATGTTCATATTTGGGGATTTCTGGTGGAGTGGAACTTCTACAGTATTGGGAACAGAAGCAGGTACAGCAAATGTCAATGTGTATTCAAAAATTTCTGTTTGACTCAGGTTTAAAATGTGCATAAAAGATGTACGTGGAAACACACCTAGAAAAGACTGAGACAGTAAAGTTCAAAGCATGAAAAGCAAGCGAGAGAAGGGAAAAAGAGGTGAAATAAAGGCTGGAAGAGAGAGTGAAGAACGGGACAGAGAGATGGAGGATGTGGACACGAGCCTGTGTTGAGGCAGCAGTGTTTGTGCTCATGGAGGGAAAACTCCTTTTGGTATCAAAGCAAACTGATTTTCAGCCTGTTTACTGAAAGCAGGCCACGACTTTGATTCCTCCACGTCTTTATCCAGTAAATCCAACAATCCACAGCCTGAGGCCTGATATGGTCCAATCCTCCATTGTTAGGCCCCTTTTTCTGGAGACTAGCATGGACAGTATATGGTCCAGAAATTAAAATATGTGGGGCAAAAAAACTGAAAGAAACCTACTAATATTTCTCCTCAGCTATCTGCGGCCAATATATAATGCACATCAAAACAGAGAAAAGTCACATTACAATCTAATATACTTTGTTATCTTAGCCAGTAACAAATTGTTTTAGATGGAATTATACATAATTAATGAAACAGAAACAGACATTGGTTTATGCTGTAGATTTCAGAACGTTACTGTTATTTAAGAGAGAAAATGTTAACTTTTTCACCACCTTACCTAAAACTTGTGCTAACATTGTTCAACATTGTTCTGATTAATCTGTTTATCTATATTTCGGACACGATGATTGTTGACATTCCTGATCACAGAAGTCTCTGGTCCATTCTGCTGGATAACCTTTAAATTTAAAAACCACAAAAATACCAAGCTACACTATTGGCCAGGTCATAGAAGATTGTATTTCTACAGATGCACCTCAGATCGGACACTAAAGCTGCATAAATAGGATTTCAAAGTGTCTTTTCTGTCACATGCGACACAATGCAACACAATGCACAACAACGCACAGTGAAGCCCGCCATCAAGTCAGCAGGGAACAACGCAATGTATAATGTATACAAGCCTTCTCCATCGCTGAGTTTTGCACCACAACTTGAACAGCGTGAGATGATGGATCATTTCTCCTGCTTCCACGCTGGAAACCCGCGTTACGTAGTTACTGACGCCTACGTTCTGGACACACAATTCCGATCTGATCGCTCACAAATAACAGCGTGGGCAATCTGTCCTAAAGATCTGATTTGAGAAACCAGTCTGATTTACCTCCAGTCTGAAAAAGCCATAATCACCTGAACTGTCATCCAGTGTGCTGAAGTTACACAGTGTGCCTTTTAATACAGTATGTTGCCTGTTATACAACAGGTAGATTCAGACAAGCAGTCTGATCTGGTCAGATCTGGTTTAAGACACATTCTGAAATGTGCTGTGAGTCATATTTGTAAAGGCTGCAACACCAGCTCTTGTAGTGAGCAGGTAGCTAATATGCCGATGAGAGACTTTTTATTATGATAATGTGTTGGTAACTGCTGAAAACACTGTAATAATACTCTAATATGACATAATACTCTCAGCAGGGTTCCTTGCAGGGTTTGTGGATGCTCTAGTGTTGCTTGATAACTATTACACACATAGTGAGAGTACAGAGAGCCCTCTCAGGCGTTACTGCTTCACTAACAAAAAGCATCTGTAGTCATCTGCCTCTGTACAATCCTGATTACATGAGTTCGGACCTGCTGGGCCGGGGACATAAACCTCAACACGGTCGTAAAAGAGATTGATGGCAGCTATAAATTAGAGGAAAAGCTGTGTGAGAGCCACTGCTGGCAAAACACTGTTAATAAATGTAAAATGTAATTTTGAAATGTTTTTTTTAAGGGTTTCAAGAGACTTAGATAGATGTGAACCTCAATGAACAAGCAAAAACCGTGTATGCTTCCAATCCTTTTAACATAAATCAAAAACATAAATCAGGATTGGAGTTGCCAAGTTGTTGTTTTTTTTTTTTAGGTTTCATTAGATATTTGCCAGTTGATGTATGGATTTATTTGTGATTTACAGCTTTGTAAATGCCACAAAACTGCAGCTGCATTTTTTCTTTGTCCCACCCACACGGCAGCAGAGGTAAAGAGGAGCCATGTGACGTCTGGGGTTGGACAGACAGACAGACAGACACAGCTGAGGCCAGGCGAGGCCGGCCCACGGCGAGATGAAAGAGGGGAGACACAATGAAATGTTACGGGATGGGAGGCGTTGTTGTGGCAACCTGCTGACACAGCGCGGTCTCGTTACAACTTCCCAACGGGCTGCCAGCACCCACATCACACTGCCAGTCTCCGTGAAACAGGGCTGGGCTGTACCGGTTGCCATTGGCAACCATTCTGAGAGAAAAAAAAAAACGGCAACCATTTCTTGGCCTTTCTTTTAAACATATGAAATAGGGACAGTAAACAGCAAAACATGCGTCCCAAAAATAAATAAACTGTTAGCATTCATTGAATTAGTGATATTTAAATATTACTGTTACAGTCAGAACTGGAAGTGCTGAACGTGCCTTGTTGCATTCATGCAGGCATCTGTTTTAGAGACGAATGGCGAAGCAAACCAAGTTGTTTGACTGTGAGGGTGAAAAGTTCGATTAACCTAAACACAAATGGCAAAGAATTTTATTCGGTTACTCTAATAAAGCTTTAAAACATTATTTTATGTCATATTTTCATTATTAAGCTGACATATAACTGATACTATCAAACAACGTCGACCATATTTTCAGTTTCGGCAACCAAAAGCTGATCAGGGTTCCCTCTCCTTTTTAAATTGTATTTATTTTATTACACAAATGTTCATTACATGTGCGATTAACATCCATGTGCATGTATTTATCAAGTAGGTTGATGCTGTATGCATGTAGATATGAGAATTTTGAATGAATACTACTACTACTACAGTAGAGAGACCAGTGTTGAACAAAATATGCACCTAGGTTTATGTAAGTGATCTGACTGAGGGGGCTATGGTACTTTCCAGAACAACATGGCTCATTTAAAGGAT